TTGTAAGGTTTTTTAAAGGTTTTGTAAAACTGTTTAAAATAATTTATAAGGGTTTAAACTTGGGAAGGTGAAGGAGCCGTATTTATTTTTTTAGAGAATTTGTTTTTGTTTCTTGTTGCAGGTGCTGTGTGCATCTCTCCTTTTTCTTAGTAACTAGTGGTGTGTTTTTACTCATCGTGCCGCGCACCTACTGCAGATTCGGCTAGATATCAACGAGTAAAAGATTGCGTACGAGTTAAGCTTAATATTACAGCTTTCACTTTGAGTTTTAGCTCATATATTATTAGTCACTGAGTTTGCCTCTGATATTAAATGTTTATTAGAAATGGTAGAATGACTAGTGACAGATTTTTACCTGAGTAGTATCTATGGATCCAGGAGTGTTTAGACACTTATTTGAAGAGAGTTCTGATCTTTTGAGGATTTTTCAATTGTTTGCCCAAATATCTGAATGTGGTTTCCGCACTACCACCACATATTTTCAGCTTACAACTCGGTAACACGTTCAAATTCATTTATAGACGAAAACGATTCATAATCGGAATTTTACACACTGGTACGTATGACCAGTGATCATCGATTATCCAGTGTGGGATCTCACAATCACATTGGCAGCTCCTGATTGCTGGATATCATGAGCCTCGATGCCGTGAAGATAAAAAGCTGAATAGTTGCTGACGAAAGGCAACAACAAGCAATGATAAACCAAACCCAAGAGGCACTCCATATGTAAAATCTAAGGCAATGTCACTATCGCCGTCATTCTCACTGCTTCTTGGTCTTTTGTCGTCTGGTGTATCTGCTTGACATTGTCTCCAGTAGTCACTACAAAAATGGTTGCCCTCGAAGCTCGAGTTTGGAAATGTTTGAAATTGACCACCAGAAGGGATTCTCCCTGAGAGACTATTGTTAGCAACACTGAACTTGGATAGGAATGTTAGTTTCTGCAGAGATTCCGGGATTGAGCCGGAAATGCGGTTATTGGACAAATCAAGAACCTCCAAGCTTGTCATTTCTGAAAGCGAGCTGGGGATCGATCCCGATAATCTGTTGGCATTCAGATATGATATATGGAGTTTCTTCAAATTTCCAAACTCTTCCCAAATGGGTCCAGAAAGATTGTTTTGGCTGAGTTCAAGCGTTGGTGGGAACATGAAAAACTGGTTGTATGGCAGATGTCTTGCATTCTCATTTACTCTGTAGACGAATGTGAAATCTAGAGATGGCTCGTCGAGTGAGATATCTCGGCTTGAGAGGCTCTGCAGCCATGTTAAGCTTTTTGGAATCTCTCCTGCGAACGAGTTATTCGACAAATCCAAGTAGAAAAGCTTGGTGAAACCACCGATCCAATTCGGGATAGCTCCAGTTAAACGGTTCCATGAGATATCCAACAGCTCTAGATTGTTGCTTTTGCTCAACCAGCTTGGCATTGAACCAGTAAGCCTACAATCTGCTACAACAAATACCTTTAGCTTCTTGAAATGAAGATTTGGGTCGTCAGGCAGCATTTCATTGTCGAAATTCAGAGTGAGAATCAGAGTTGTCAGGTTCTGGCAGTGCTGAAGGATGCGAAGGGCCGATGAAATGTTAACGAGGCTGCAATTGGAAAGGGATAAAAAGGACAAGCTATGGAAGTCCTTGAAGCTCTCTGGCACCTGCCCGTCCAAGTGGTTTCGCGCTAGATTAACATTCCTCAAGTTTCTGCAAGATGGTAGATGTTCCAGCAAAGAGACATTGAACTGATTGGATCCCAGATCAAGCAAGGTCAAGTTAGTCATCACAGCACAATCCAGACCCCAAGGACCACTCAGTGAGTTGTTCCTCAGGTTAAGATGGATCAAAGTCCGTGAACTCGACAACGAACTGGGAATTCCTCCAGTGAATCTATTAGACTGAGCCACGAAATACTCGAGCTCCAGAATTTTGTCGAACACGTCAGGAATTTCACCAAAGAATCTATTCGAAGAGACATCAAGATGAACAAGGTGGGAGAGGTTTCCAAGTGCAGGACTCAATGAACCAGAGAGACCGTTCTCTTGAATCCCCAAAAGATTCAACCTTTGAAGCTGAAACAGATCCTTAGGTATATTACTCCGGCAAAGTTGTTCCTTTGGAGTCTGATAAGCATAAGCTTTGTAGAGTTGTGGCAAACATGCGAAGGAAGCGAACCATTCAACTGGTTTGAGGAAAGACTGACATTTGTAAGCGAAGGAAGATTTAAACTCTGTGGGATTTGGCCAATCAATCCGTTAGAGCTCAAATCTAGAGTTTCGAGATTATAGATCGATGGAGGGATGGAGCCTAAGATGGAATTCTTGGACAGATTAAGAACTCTAAGCTGATCTAGCAGCCCAAGAGATTCAGACAAACTACCCGACAATTCTCTGTTCACGAGTTCTAGCTTTGTGATTCTCGCAATGTTGAAACGGAGCGAAGAAGAGGAAGACTCACATGTGATTCCCACCCATTCACAGCAATCACCAGAAGAATTGAAAGCCCATCCAACTGGCTTCGGCTCGAGCTCGAGCTCGTTGACGAAGTCACGCAAGGCTTCTAGGTCACGTGGATGGCACGTGAGTTGCAGAGAGTTTGCTGAGTAGAAGCCGCCTTTTGCTGGATCCCCTTGGGCTTGATGTGACATGGCCCGCTTCCTGCGGTACTGGTATAGTCCATGAATGCTCCTGCTCATACGTAACAAAATAATGAGAATTAAAATTTATTTCAATTAAAACCCTAGAATATATACTTATTTTTACTATAAATATTTTTGCCAAATATATTTCAAAAATCTAAAAATCTAAATATATGTCATAAATCTACCATAATATATGTATATATGAATGATATACAGATCAGAACGGATATTCGAATTTTTAAAATTAGTATTTGTGATTTGTTTCGCATTAAACGAATACTAGATTTTACTATTTCCTTTAATTTGATGGATATCCAGGCGAATACTGAATTTGAGCGTATTTAACGGATAATTTTGTCGAGTCCTATTTGTTACGACCGAATCAACAATTTCATTTCCCCGTTTAATTTCTGGACCAGATTTTCGATACAGTTTTGGTTTGGTTCAACCAGAATGAATATTTCGCAAATCCCCTTCCTATTAAAAGAGAAGTACAATTAGTTAAAATGATTATTTGTTTTAATCTTATTGGCTCAAAACTATGACTTGTTATGGAAAAATTATGACATGTCTATCGAAAAAGATGACATGGCTTAATCTTTAATTACTCTTTTAACACAATTTTTATCAC